CCAGTCAGGACCCAGTCAGCTGCAGCTTAAAATTTCTCTCTTACGTTCCCTTTAATTGTTGCAGGTTTTTGTCTCACTATCTGGTCTCTTTCCAGTCACTCACTTCTCCTCAGTTTCCCCAAAACCAGTAAAAACCAGTCAGTAACGGAGCAATCTGCACTGGTCTCCTTTTCCTTTAATGTTACAGTTTTTAGTTCCTTTAAAGACTGAAGTCTCCTCTTCTTTTATTTCTAAAATCTGTTTCTTCCTCACTTCCCAAAACCAGTCAGAAACCAGTCAGAGCAGAGGTCAGCACTAGTTGCAATAAGCAGTCAGATTTTTGTCTCTTTAGAAACTTTTAAATCCCAGAATCTCTTCCTCACCTTGTGTTCAGCTCCTCTCAGAGTCCCAACAACCAGTCAGTCACCAGTTTCCACCCAGTCAGAAACAGATGAGTCAGTCAGTCAGTCAGCAGCAGGTCCAGCTCTGTCCCGTTCAGCTTTAAGATCTCTGCTCCCTCCGTTATGCTCGCTCTGCTTCAGTAATAATACATGGGATTATTATTATTATTATTATTATTATTATTGTTGTTGTTGTTGTCCTCTGCGAGCTGATCGTGGATCAGCCGGAGCCGGTTGATCCAGAATCTGAAGCTGTTTTATTTAATAATCCAATTTTATCCGGACGAATTAATTAATGAATAAAAAAATAGGAGACAAATTCAAAATGTCTAGTAATAATCTGGAGACATTTCTTTCTCGAATCGAAAAGAAGAGAGAAGATTGTAAAATAAAAAACGGTGTGAAAATAAAAGATAAAGGGAATTTCACCGACGATCTGACGGCGACCTTCAAAAACAATCCACGAAACACTTGAATGTGAGTCTGAAGAATCGCATGGGAACAGAGAGTCACGGAGGAGACGGCGGCCTGCTGGAGGACGGAGGGGACGGAGAGGACGGAGACACGGTCAGCGGGAGTCTGCCGGTGGACACCGAGCGGCGCACAGCTTTCAGTCCCGGCGGCGGGCGGCGGGCGGGCGGTGCAGCCTGCGGAGGAATTGTTGCTCCATCAGAGGAGAGAGAGAGCTGAACGTCCGGTCGGCTGTCAAATGTCCCGTTAGAGCCGATCCGAGGTATTTAAAGTCCTCCTGCTGCCTGTCTGTCTGTCGGCCTGTCTGTCTGTCCGACCGGCGGCTTTAAAAGGAGAAGCGGCTGCTGGGGGTGACGTCACGCACACGGCCACGCCCCCTCCCCTCTCTCTCTCTGTGGACGTCATCAGGTCACTCCTCCATCTCCAAACCTTCACGAGCCCCCCTCCCCCCCCTCTCCTTTCTCCATCTCTGACGTCACAGGGGTCTCCCTCTATCCAGCCTTAATGCACGCGCGCACACACCATGCACGCATGCGCACACACCTCTGATTACTGTGCAATACTGTGGTTTATTCTAGTGACACAATGAAACATTAACAGTACTCACTATTATCATTACACATGAGGCATTTAAGGCATCTATTATAATGTACATAATTCTTCTACATTTTCTTCATATATTCTGTTAAATATTGTTATATAATACATCATTTTCACCTTCTATATTTTTATTTATATTTCTTTAATACCATGAGCAACTGAAACAAACACATTTTCCCCCAGGGATCAATAAAGTATTTCTCACACACACACAGACACTTACACACACACACACTTGCGTGCTGAGTGTGTTATGTACTATTTATTTGATTGTTTGTTTGTTTTTCTTTGTGGATTTGTTAATTGTGGATGGCGTGTTGCTTTGTTGACTGTATGGTGTTGCCTGCAGGTGCAGTGATGTGGACATGAATTTCCCCCTTGGAGGACCATAAATTGAATTGAATATATTATTCATGTTTTGCATCATTGCACAACTTTCCAACATCAAGGTCGGTGCACATCACTCATGAAAGACATTAACATGATGAAAACGCAGAAAACAACGAAACAGACGAGAATGGGACTCAGTTAGGTTTGCACAGTAACAGCCAGTAGAAATGTCACAACCAACAGTACTTTTGAACTTTTACTTGAGTAAAACTACTTTTAATGTATTTTTTTACTAGTATTTGTACTTCTGCTTGAGTAAACAATGTGTGTACTTTTGTCACTTTGCATGTTGGGAATTGTCCAAGTTAGGCAAAACTTGGCTATTAAAAAAACTGTCCATTTTCAAACAGATCTCCTGACTACTGAGCTCAGGATATCTGAATGAAAATGGAGTCTCCCCTTTGCAGACACTTTATGATAATCCCATGCAGTTGTTTGGATGCAGTATAAATGTGTTATTTTAGTGTATTTGAATATTTCTTCATACT